GGAAAATTTAAGGGGTAGTTATATAATAATTTTGGACGATCTCGGGCGGTCGGATACTTATGACCGCTACTGTACTTTGGGAACCAGAAGCGACGTTTGGGTTTTCAGTGTTTTTAGTGTCAGTAGAGCCTGGACGGTTAAGAACTGTCACAGTTTTCTTTTGAGAAGGTTCCTGAGACTTTTCGTCAACTAGAGAGTCAGGATGACTACGAGTATTGTATTGAGCTTTTGGGTTGTTATTAAATTTTTTTTGAGTTACTTTTCCCATAGTGGTTTTGAGTGGAGTCAGGATATCCTGGCAAAATTTAATATCAAGTTAATAAAACCAATTTTGTGTAAATTGACGATTTACATCAAAATTTCTTATATAGTAAAGTTTGGGCATAGAAAAATTTTTGAGCACACTAGTTACCACAAAACTGACACTGGATTCCGATTCTCCTCAGTGTGGCAATTCTAACAAGCTAAATTTCGTTGAAATCAGACCAGCCTATCAGGAATTATCGCGCAGCAAAGATCGGCAAATTATATATATAAAAGGGGTTTGGCTACTTTTTATATAATAATTTACTGATCTTTGCTGCGCGATAATTCCTGATCGGCTGGTCTGATTTCAACGAAATTTAGCTTGTTAAAATCGCCACACTAAGGAGAATCGGAATCCGATATTAGCTTTATGGTAGCTAGTTTGCTCAAAATTTTTTCTATGCCCAAACTTTACTATGTAAGAAATTTTGATGTAGATCGTTAATTTACACAAAATTAGTATTATTAACTTAATATTAAATTTCGCCAAGATATCCTTCAAGATTTGGACTTTAAAACAAGTATTAGATCATATTTCTAGCTTTTGTGGTTAATGAGTTATAGCCGTTCAAAGTCAACCAATCACACTTGTATTTCTTTTGTTGCCTACTGTATAACAAAGCAGAAAAATACTTGAGCTAATTTAGCAGATATTCCTACTTTACAAAGACATTTAGTCACATCTATTTTTCAAGCATCATCAAGTTCTATAATAACAACTGCATCAACTATACCTCTATTACTATTATCACCTGCTAATATTTTTGAAAATCGAGATCATAGCGATAAATATAATATAAATGAAGAAATTGAGACATTTGAAAATCTATTTAATAATGATAATTTACAGTAGCAGTCATAAGTATCCTACCGCCTGAGATCGTCCAAAATTATTATATAACTACCTCTTAAATTTTCCAGAAATATAATGTAATATAATACATGATCATCTGTAAATTTATAAGTATCAATGATACAAAAAAAAATTTAGATGATCATCAAACTTTCACTTAAAAAATGGAATTTTCTTTAGAGAAATGATATGAAATTGTCTTTTTACGTGGCATCCAACTAGTTCAAAGTTTAGTTTTGATTTATTGCTAAACAGGTACGTTGTGATAAGTTTACAGCTATTTATTAGGTTAAAAGATATCATGAAAATTGAGATCTAAATATTTTAGAAAGACCAGAGCAGCCTTATATAACATCCGCAAAATAAGATAATAAGATTGTAAAGATTGTAGAGAAAGAATATAATATAACAGCCATTCAAATACAAGAAAAAATGGAAGAAAGAGGTGTTGGGCTTAATATAGAAATAGTAAAGCGACGTCTTCGTAAGTCTGGAGAAAAGTTTAGTAATGAAATTTCTAAACCTTTGCTTAAAGAAAACTATCAAAAGAAAAGGTTGTAATGGGCAAAAAAACATAAGAATTTTAATTGGAATCGAGTTGTTTTTATAGATGAGAGTACATTTCAATTATATATATCAAAAAAAAGGTTTGGTAGTTTCCTGGTAGAAAAAAAGTATTTCATTCTGTTAAGCATCTACCAAAAGTTCATATTTGGGAATGTTTTTCTGCTTCTGGATTTGGTAAGCTATTTTGCTTTTAGAGAAACCTTAATGCTGAATTTATATATACTATTTATGAGTAGGGTCTTTTGGCTTTCACCTCTAAACTTTTTGGTGAAGGTAACATAGATTAGATCTTGCAAGAAGATAATAATCCAAAGTATCGATTGAAAATCGCGAAAAAATGGAAGGAAAAAAATAGCATTGAGGTACTTTTTTAGCCTTCAATATCTCCAGACTAAAACTCTATAGAAAACTTTTGGAGGTTAATGAAAATTAATATACAAAAAAAAATTCGATCAATTAGAGGGTTAAAGAGAGAACTTACAAAAGAATAGAACTGATTATTACCTGTACTTATCGTGAATTTGGTAGCTAGCATGAAAAAGCATACAGCTGTACTTATAGAGTCAGATGGTGACTATACCAATATATTAATTTTAGTTAGTTGGTTATGTATTTTTTAAATAAAAAAAATTTTTGAATTTACTTACTTGTAGTCAGAGTTAGAGGTGGTCAGATACTTATGACTGCTACTGTATTTGAAATATTAGAAAATGAAGAGGAAGATAATAATAATAAAAAAGATAAAGAAAATAATAATAATTATTATAATAATGAAAATATAGTATATGATAATGATAGTTACAAAAATGATAGTAATAATAATGATAATAGTTTTGATTTTGAAAGTATAAATTCTGATAAGCTATAATTTAAATATTTACGAATTTAAAATTTTGTATTGTATTCATATTATTTTAAAATTATTTTAGAAAATTTGATTAAAGGTTTACAATTTCTTCAAATTAAAGAGAAATATAATATCTCAGAAATAGCATTTAATGAAATTCTTAAAGTTTTAGAAATTTCTGATGTTTCTCTTTATAAACTTCAAAAATTCCTTAGAAATCTTATACTACTAAAACCAACATTTGTAGAATATTGTATTAATTCATGTATAGCATTTACTGATGAATATACTAATAAGAAATTCTATTTAGAATATAAAGAATCATATTATAAATCTAATGTAACACCTCAAATGCCTCAAAAAAAACTACTTATTGGTTACTTATAGATTCATTTCAGATGTAATATAAAGATAAATCTTATGCAGAAATTCTTCGTTACAGATATAATTATACTTCAACATATAAATATAGACTTGGTAATCAAATAAATGATATATTTGATGGTCTTCAATATAAGACCATTAGTTGATAAATTAAAGTAACTGTAGGGTATTAATTATATATATATTATTTTGCAATATATTTTATATAATGTATTTATAATATACTAATTATTATTATTATAATTAATATAAAAGGTATTCAATATATTGATAGTTTAACAGAAAATACATTTACCCTTTATGCATATATTTTAAGTATATCAGGTAATATTCTAGCACTTTCTAAAGTCATGTGTATAACAGGTTATAATTTATATAAGACATATCATTTTTGCTCTATTCATGAAATATATTACCAAAAAAATTAACATATATATTTTCCACTTAAACCTTCAACTAATATATCAGGATGTCAATATAATCCTAATAATATTCTATTAAGAACACATGAAAATTATATATATAATACTATAGTTGTAGAATGTATAAATGGATTATTATGAAAATGTAAAATATAAGAACGAGGTATATTTATTAATTAATAACATTTAATAAAAATCTCAAATTTTCAATTATTTCTATTTTATTATAAGATTAAATGGCCGAATTATCTTATTTGAACTTAAATTAATTGAGCTTTCTACATTATTTTCTATTGATATAATGCATGGGTTATTTGAAAATATAGCACCAGCAATGCTTAGGCATTGGTCTGATACATAATTTAAAAATTATCTAATTATACCATTTTTAATAATAATTAAACAGAAATAGGAAAAATAATGGAAAAAAATAAAAAGAATATACCATTTAATTTTGGTCATCTATCTATTAATATTCAGCAATATTCTACTGCATTTAAGGTAGAAGATTGATTAAATTAGGTTATATTATACTCAATTTCACTTTTACAAGGCCATCTTTCAGAAAAGTAATATTATTAAATATTAAATAAATTATTTTTTTTTGTTGATATACAAGTTTTCTAATTTATGCAGGCAATTAAATGGATAGGTAAGATTTGTATATACAACAAAGCTTTGTTTGAAACAAAATATTAGTACAGCTAAATTGACAGAAATTAACAAGTTTTTTTATGAATTCATCATACATTATGAAAAATATGTTTTATATTTTATATATTAATAATATAACAATTTTTTTAATATATTAAATATATATATTTAATAAGAAATATCTTCAAAATTATTCTACACAGCTTCCAGCTGCACTTATTTCATTTCATTATCTATTACATATTCTAGACCTGCATAAGCAACCTGGCAGTATCTAATGGAAAGATTATGTGAAATATTATTACCTCTAGTATGATCTATGCAGCATCTTTATACAAACCTTTAAAATCAAATTACTATGTGGATTCAGTTTTCACATCTTCAGTATAATCTTGAAATAAATTAAAAACTTTTCAGAATAAATTTAAAAAAAGCAATAAATTATTCTGAAAATCATATTTTTACTACTGATAATGCTGAAAAAGTATTGTATTCACTATCATATAAATATTGTATGAGTAAAACTGAAATGCAACGTTTAAAAGCCTATTATATAATAGCATTAAATAAAAGTGCAAATCAGCTTATTGTAAGTAATTTTAATCTTATTTTATAAGAATTTAATAATATACTAATAAATTATTTAATTTATTTTAAGCCAATTACAAATTTCATTCAAAAATATAAAAAACTTCAAATAAAGTATGACTTAATAATTAGCTCAAAACTGTTAAATCGTAAAGGTGATATAATATGCACAAATTATTATAATGCTGTATATATATATTTCTAAGATATATATAATATTTTCAGATCCAAAAAAATTTTATCACTTTAACATAATATTCTAGGTGAAGCTCTTGGTTAATAAAAATGCTTATTATCCAAATGCGTCAATCATTTTGAAAAAAAAGGAATTTTTCGAAAAAGTGCAATATTTTTTTCTACATCAATATAATAGTTACTTGTCTATGTTAGCATATGTACAATAGGTACGAAATCCTCAACCTTCTAGATATGGTCTGTTAAAATTCAGAAATCTTAGTACATTTGAAGTAATTGCTGTTAATGCAATTGATAGAAAAGTTGGATTTCTCATGTCAAATAATGAATTTTATATCATTAATAGAGAAAATTATGTTAAATTTCATTAATTTTTTAATTAAATAACTGCAGCAGCATTAACGTTAAAAAAAAAAGAAATATAAAAATTTATGTTAGAAGTGTATTATATGTCAGAAGTTTATAAATGAAAAATTATTTTTCCTGGGGATCTAGAAAACCTTTCAAACCTCCTTCTTAAAAAAACATGCATTTATTTATTGATTATAATAATTTATTATATTATAAAATACTATACTTAAAATTAGATTTATAATTAAATGTATTCAGTATTTGTCTCATATTTTATCAGTAATTTAACAATAAAATATTTTCAATAATAAAATATTAAATCTTAGATTTATATAAATTTCATTTTATGTAAATTACATAATAGAAAAATTCTGAACTGCTTTCTCAATCTATTGATATATACTAAACATTTACGGAATTCTAAACACAATCATAGATAAATAATAAAAATATTTCAGAATGCATTTTTTACAGGGATAATAGTGGCATGAGTTAATGAGGAATTATATTAGCTTAAATTATATGATCTTTTATATTTGTATTTTAAAATAAATTTCATGAAATTAATTCAGATGATTTCATTAAATATTCACATCTTTTAAAAATTATCAGATCAGTATAATCTTTTATTAATTTTATTTAAAAAGTATTTTCAGTTTTATTTTTATACTAATACCTTGTATTTTTCATCTTTTACACTAACTTCAAAACCTTTACATCATTTTTTTTTAATAAAAATAAATATAACTTTGAAATATATAGTAGAAAAAGCCTATAAAGATACATTTATAGTCTTTTTTTATGTTAAAAAATGCTTTTAAAAGAGATCTAAATTAAGTAATAGAATTGCAAATATTTGAATTATATAAGTTATAATTTTATTTTTCAAGGAATTTTAGAATTTTATTTATATGCTAATATACAGTCCCTACCAAAAGTAATGATAGACAGTTTTTTAACCTTATATATGCAATTTTATATTAAACCTAAGTTAAATTTTTTTTAAAATAAAGATAAAAACTATAGCTATAAGTTTTATTAAGTAATAAATATTTGGTATGTCTTTCATCTGCATCAATACATGCTTGAATTCAATTTGCATACTATTGATGCAGTTAATTAAAATAGAATTATCAAGATTATTAATAAAAATGTCATTTTATATTTTTTTTTTGTGCTACCATTTTTTTAATTTTTTTTTTAATTTTTTTCTTTAAATTAGCCCAAACATTTTCAATTAGGTTGAGATCCAGGCTATAAAAAGGTTACAAAAGAATCCAATTTGTAAAGTGAGTCTTCAAGTCTTTTCTAACATCATTGAAAGTATGTTTTAGGTCATTATCTTGCTGAAAAATTCAGCAATGACCTAATAATCTATTTGCATTATTATAGAGATGATCATCAAGAATTTTGTGATATAAATGACGATCAAGATTTTCTTTAAAAATATGCATGCCAATCTTTCCTTTAACATTGATCGCAGCCCAAACATGCATCTTAAAAAGATGTTTAATCATGAGTTAAATAGGATTTCCATTTTTAGACTATGCACAGGTAGTGTTATGAAACTTTTAATTTAATGTTGTAGACGAAACTGAAACCTAATTTCTGGTAAAACTATCAAAACTTGACGAAATTAGTTTCATCATTCATGCAAATTCTGAAACCTAACGAAACCTCTGAAACCTGACATAACCTCTAAAACCTGACGAAACATCCAAAATCTGATGAAATCTTCAAAAATAATGAAACCTCTGAAACAATAATATTTAATTATATTAAATTTAATCATAATAATTGTAATATTTATTTAAAGCTTTATTTATAAAATGAAAAAATTTTAATAGATGTCAATTTACATTTAACCAATATGTTCAAAAAGTTATACTAATTACAAATAAGCTTCAACTGCTAATTTAGGATCCCAATCCTCATCAATTTTCTCTTGATTTATTTTATCATTATTGGCTTCCTCTTCCAAATTAATATCTGAATCTTCAATAAATTCATCAAGACCTT